ATGCAATCAGAATGGATGTTGGTTGCCGCCAGTATAATAATAATAAGAAGATAAACGCCCGTGATCGGCAGAGTCAGCGCCGGTCCCAGGAAACGTCATCAGGACAGACATCCCGTCGACTGCAGAACGCCCGTGATCGGCAAAGTCAGCGCCGGTCCCATAGCTATGCAGAAGACGTTACTTCAGTATCTCATTGAAACGTTTTGGCAATACAATGATGAAGCTAATCAAAGGAAAAAGCATTTCCATCAGTTCTAACAACATGCACGATGAGCTAGGCAACAAAGCATAGCGCAGGGCCCTGAGCTTCCAAGCTCTCTCGTTTCTTTATTGTATTGTATCGTATTCTATGGACTTACCTCATTGGCTCAACAGCTTAATGTATTGCTACAAAAACGCCAGAAAATCCGAATGATGCATGATTGAGCAATGGATGCGTGTGACATGTGGCTAATCAACGGAAAAAAACATTTCCATCACTTCTAATAACATGTACGATGAGCTAGGCAAAAAAGCATAGCGTAGGGCCCTGAGCTTCCAAGCTCTCTCGTTTGGTATTTGTTTGTTTGTGTGTTTGTTTGTTTGTTTGTGTCACGCCTGGCGCTATCCGTATCTGATGGCAAAAAAGCATAGGATGTTATAAATTTTTCAATTCTCCTATTTTTCAGGCATATCCTGGGATTCGAACCCGCACTATCGCCCTACATGCATTTCCCCATACACTTCGCATTCATACCCATTCTTCCAAGTTGCTTCACGTTATTATCTTGCGTTTGAAAGCAATATTTGAATATTGCGGGCAGCTGTATGTGGCCAGCTGTGTTTGATGGTACAGTACGGTACGGGAGACAGTGTCGTATTACTCTCGATCGTACCTGTCCCGTACCTATCCCCTACCGTACCGTGCCATCAAAGACAGCTGGCCACAATGCATATTCAAATAGGGCTTTCAAATGCAAGATCACAATGTGAAACAACTTGGAAGAATTAGTATGTATGCGAAGTGTATCGGGGGGTGCATGCAGGGCGCGCGATAGTGCGGGTTCGAATCCCAGGTTATGTCTTAAAAAAAAGGATTTTTTTAAAGAATTTATAACATCCCTATGCTTTTTTTTTGTCCAGGTCATCAAGGCAAAAAAGCATAGCGTAGGGCCCTGAGCTTCCAAGCTCTCTCGTGATAACCGCAATCAATAAGATAGCTGAATCATTGCCTGTCCAATCCTTGATGAAAAGGGACCGAAAACTTTCGGATACTTTATGACAAGTGCCTTATTTGACTGAATGTGTGTGTTTGCGTGGATACTTACAACATAACACTTACCTTCGTTTGAAAAATAAAAATAAATGCGTGAAGGTAGGTTTCTTGAGGGTAGGTAATATTGTTGTTTGCATTGCACCAGTGTTTCCACTCGGTTCCAAAATTTAGTGGGTATTGGTTCCCATTTCTAGTATGGACCAACGCAGAAGAATTCCGTTGCGCAAATTAAGCACACCCTGGATCCGGAGTAAATCTAGAAATGGGAACCAATACCCACTGAATTTTGGAGCCGAGAGGAAACACTGGTGCAATGCACACAACAATATTACCTTGCATGGTGACAGAGCAGCAACTTTGAAAACAAAAACTAGCACCGACAAGCGAAACTTGGCGTTTATTTGTATTGTTCGTGTTGGTACCACAACTTCACAAGGCTGTGAGGTACGACCTACTTGTAGCTACCGTTAAGTACCGTTGATCCCCCCCCCCCCCAAGCCATGTCGCTTCCCAGCTGGGTTTTCGGCAGGGGGCGGGAATTAGATCAAGGCTGCCAAGTGCAGTACGATGTACAACAACGTAGAAGTTCAGACTCGATGTGCTCGATTGTGCACATTTTCTTCCTGGATTGGCAAGTATTGTGTACAGCAGTGCAGGCGTCGGTTCAACATCGTATTTTCGTTCGCTTCACAGGTAGAAAATCGACAGGGGGCGGATCAGCGGTACTTCACGGTACTTGCAACCGGGTGAGTGGCACATGGCTCAGACCTAGCCAGAGGCAGACCAGTCTCTCGTGTACCAGCACAACAGTGGGCGCATCCATTCTGAAGGAGAATCGCCGTGCTTTCGCGTTTCAATGCAAAACCAAGGAGTTCTCTCTCTCTCTCCACTTGGTCACTCAGCCAGCACAGAGTCCATACATCCATGCCAAACAATCCTGGCATCTTTCAAAAGCCTCCAGAGCGATGCGTCTCCGGTGGCTAAGGGAAATCACCAGGAATTGCTCCAGTAGGGAGGTACTGCTCTACAATTCGGGAACGCGGCGCAAAGAATCACTCGAACTTTCTTCGCGTTCCCGTAACGTAAAGAAATCCTGTTCTGCTCTACGCTTCACGTAGAGAAGTCACGTGGAATGTGTACTCAGTAACTGGGAATTTCCCCTTCCATATTTGGCAGCTTTCTGCATGCAGTTGATCGATATTCAGCAAATCCGTACGCATTTTCTCTGCGTGTGCCACAACGTAGAGAACCTCATCTCCGCGTAGAAATCTGGAGCCAAAACACGCGAAGCCGTAGACTCTAACCCAGACACCTGCTCCCCACGTGATTTCTCTACGTTTCACGTATAGTAGAACATCTCTATTGTTGGCGAGATTACACAGCAAAATGTTGGAGTCAAGGCGTGTGTGGAGGTGTTGCACAGTCACCCCATGGATAATGGCAGCGGAAATTACCACCCTCGACACCGTGGCTCGAGCACAGCACACAGGGGGCGACATCGAGATTTCCAGAGCGATGACAGCAGAGGTACTTGCTGCAACGGAATCATGCCGCTCTAGTCGCACTTTCGTAGACACCCTTTAATAGCAAAAAAAACGCTATGTTGTAACGATATGACCGTCAGGGGGAAGATACCGTGATTTGGGTTTGTCCTTAAGAAAAATGCACGCTCTTTTTAGTACGCTGTTGCCACGAGAATAGCTTTTATTTCGGGCTGTACAATCATTTATGTCACTATATTTGTATATAGGCTATACAAGGTGAAATGCATACGGACAATGCAATATTTGGCCAAATAACGCACCGTTTGTCACAATAATACATCAGCCCCCATAAGGTTTTTACGCTGCAGCTTCAACGCTATTTGGTTGATCAAGGTACGAGTACCGTGAAAAATCGTGTTACCGTTGCTTGCTAAGGCTGTGTTTACATGAAGCGTTTCGCCCCGGGTTGAGTTCGACCCGGGTCAGATTTCAACCCGCCATGTGCACAAAGTGAATGGCGCGTTTACATGACGCATTGCGCGCGAACGGATTCACGTGACCATACAGGACTGTAGAAGTGGACTTTTGGCGGCATATCAGTATTTGACCCAGGTCAACTGTCTTCATGTAAACGCTCACCTCTTTTGTCTGTCGTACAGACTTTCAACCCGGGCTGAACTCGACCCGGGTTGAAATTTCCCATGTAAACACAGCCTGAGTTGTCTATTACAGGGACCAATCCACTTCAGAAGAAACTGCGATCTCTGAATCAGAGGATCGGCCTAACTGACTCTAATGTCCTCAATAAGCTATACAAAGTTGTATTTTGATGAGTCGATCATTGGTTTTGATTGTAAAGTGTGAGTTGTTTCGAAAAATTTAAAGTAAAAAGCGTTTCAAGTTTCGCTTGTCAAAGGTATATTTTAAAGGGGAAGTTAAGGCAAAAATCAAAATTTCACCAGTTGTAGTCTTCGGGGTGCTGAGTCGAATGGTCGTGGTCCGAGGAAGCTGAGACGCTCCCTTCCTACTTGAATCCCAATCGAACTCGCGCACTTCCACCGAAACTGGGTGACTGCGCCCTACTAGATAGGGAATTGTATGCAAAATGTCACTAAAAGCGCCATTTCGTTCTTATAAAAGCACGGATGACCGCGATTGGCCCATATCACGTGCTCCTGCGTACACCAGTCACCTGGTCAACGTGCCTGCAGGGTACAACTTACTAGCCTGTTTGACCTTTTTTGGGTGCAGTCCTGTCACTCGAGTTGAACCTTGGTGTGAAAGTTGTCACCTGCTGGCGTCGTGACCAGGTGATTTGGCCACCCAGGAGCACTTGACCGCTTGTTCATCCATGTTCGATTGGGAATAAAGGAGGAATGCTGCATCGCAGCCTTTTCGGACCAAAACCAGTCGACTCAGCGTCCAAAAGACTACAACATATGGACCAATCGCGGTCATCCGTGCTTTTATAAGAACAAAATGGCGCTTTTAGTGACATTTTGCATACAAATCCCAATCTATATCTGTAGTAGGGTGCAGTCACCCAGTTTCGGTGGAATTGCGCGAGTTCAATTGGGATTCAAGTAGGAAGGGAGCGTCTCAGCTTTCTCGGACCAAGACCATTCGACTCAGCACCCCGAAGACTACAACTGGTGAAATTTTGATTTTCGCCTTAACTTCCCCTTTAAGGTGGCAGACTACCCAAAAATTAGCTGAAAAACGAATTTGTAAATTCATACTGAGTGCTACATCAGTTGAAAGAGAATGAATATCTGCAAATTCTCTGAAAATTGTATCCCTATCTGACCAGCCGTTCAAGTATGGCCGAAAATGTGCCCTTGCAAGGAAAGATTCCAGGACCACGTTGAGGGGCCCTACCCCAACACCCATGGCTGCTTCTGGACTTGTTTTAGAATGGGCACGAAAATGTGAAAAAATTGTAAATGCACTTGTTTGGCTCCTGGGTGGCTCGCACACTGTGGCACTATGCAGGAAATTTGAGTTTTTCCGGCCTGGAAAGCCTGTCAGTGAGGCGCAAGAACTTGTAAATCATGTCCTGAGGGCCAGCATAGTGGCAGGAGTGGGTTAAAATTTCACTCAAATCCATTGAGAAACACCAAAGTTACGGTCAATTGAATGCCATATGAAATTTATGGGTAGGCTGCCCCCTTAAATTGAAACATGGGAAACATGGGCTACAAGTTATGTGTCCACCAACTTAACCAGATTTTGGACAGATGACTCACCATCCGAGTACACACGTAGCAGAACACCACTTACCTTGGCATTTGGTCAAATTATAATAACGTTTAGTAATATCCAACTTAATGTCTAACTTCCCGGAATCCGCGCATTTAGCTGCAGAAAAAACAAAACAATGATTTTTGTCAAGCCAGCACAGTACGAAATGCTCTGGTTTGCTCCGGTTTGAGCCTGTTTTGTTGATGACCTTGTTCTCTTCTAATCCAGTAGTGTTTTGTCTTTACATATACATGTACGTGCAAGATCGACAAAGATGAAAATGGGACTACAACATGGCAGAAATAGTTGGACGATAAACAAAACAAAAAACACCAGTTTTTGCACAGCTCTCATCATTTTGAACTCGGATGGAGAGCCAAGGATAAATTTATAGAAAAGAAAAAGGACCAAGGAACTACCAGTTAGTTGTAGAAGATCAATACCGTCGGTCAGTGCCGTGCAATGTTATCGCATGAGCTGATTGTTTAGAAACTGGTGGTGTTAGGCCATGTAAAATATATTTAATTTTTTTTTATTGTGCATTTATGGCTGTAGGGCAGATACTAGGTGTTCGCAACCCCAGAGGATTAATGGAAAGTGGAACAACCAACGTTACGCAGAAAAACCGAAGAAAATCAGGCAGCTTATGATCAGTTTCACTTTTCAAGCCCATGGCAACTAAGTTATGGTTCAGTCTGTGGACTTGACCTTCGAAAATCTACGGCCATGCTGATTAGAGGCTGTAGACCGCAGTACATACAGTAAATTTACCAGTACTAAAAAATAAAATAATTCGGCGGGGAGGGTGAAAATTTGGGGCGGGCGCGGACGGTAACAATCTTTTTTTTACTTGGCCTTAATGGACATTAACTTGTAGTTCCTTCGTCCTTTTTCTCTTCTACAAATCTCATCATTTTCTTACCATTTTCATATCTATTATCGTCCATCAATTCCTGCCATATATTGTAGTCACATTTTCAGCTATCCCTCCTGCACATCACGGTTTGTTTACATTTCATCATTTTTTGTTCTCTGCTGCAGCGCGTAGACAATCTTCAGAAGTTCTGAAAAATACCCGATAAAACTGAATTATAGAATACAATAGCAAACTCTCAGGGGCGCAGCACCCGCTACGACTGGTACGACCATGGCCGTACCACTTTTCGAAAAGCGTGGTCCGTCCGGAACGTGCAAAGCCGTAATAAAAAAATCAGGATCCATCGATGCATATGCGCATCAGACTTTGACCTTTTTCTAGACTCGTACGATCGTACTCGTAGATCTGCCATGCATCTGTGCATGTCCATGCATCTGTGCATGTCCATGCATTTGTGCATGTCCATGCATTTGTGCATGTCCATGCATTTGTGCATGTCCATGCATTTGTGCATGTCCATGCATTTGTGCATGTCCATGCATTTGTGCATGTCCATGCATTTGTGCATGTCCATGCATTTGTGCATGTCCATGCATTTGTGCATGTCCATGCATTTGTGCATGTCCATGCATTTGTGCATGTCCATGCATTTGTGCATGTCCATGCATTTGTGCATGTCCATGCATTTGTGCGCATTTGTGCATGTCCATGCATTTGTGCATGTCCATGCATTTGTGCATGTCCATGCATTTGTGCATGTCCATGCATTTGTGCATGTCCATGCATTTGTGCATGTCCATGCATTTGTGCATGTCCATGCATTTGTGCATGTCCATGCATTTGTGCATGTCCATGCATTTGTGCATGTCCATGCATTTGTGCATGTCCATGCACGTCTCTTCTGATCGTGAAATAATACTAGGACTGTATAAACTGTTCCAGAAGTTCCCAGAACGCAGGATCTTGTCTTTTTTACAAAAAATTTCCCCGGGGACGTCCCCCGGACCCCCCCTCCAAAACGGCCTTTGGCCGCGCCGACCTTTGGTCGTACCACTTCCAAAACCCCTCCTACGCCCCTGACTCTGGTACACTATACACTGCCGAGCTACAACCGCTGTAGTGCAGGCAATAACGAAATGTAGCCAAAAAGGTATGTGCTAAGCTGTTTTAATATCACTTACTGATGCAATTGACCATATATGCCACCTTTATACTAAGGACGGTTTGTCCAAAGCATGTACGTGAAGGAATTCGATTTAGTTCAAACTCTGTGTACAAAAAGATACAAGAAAACAAGAGAAGAACTGTCGTCAAGCCAACAGACTACGCACGGGAATAGCCTCGCGGGTTTAACCCACTCTTGTTGATATTATTGCATTCTTCTAGTTCAGTGGTAGCTTTGACTATGAGAATAGCCTGGGCAATTACCGTAGGGAAGGATGGTCTGGTATTCACAGAAAAACCAAACTTGGCAGCTCTGCAAAATGAAACAGGCCTTGCGAAAATATGTACGAATTTTCGCACGGACTTTGCTCATTTTTATAATTTGCACGCACTGAGTGCACGTGCGCCATGACCCGATCTCACGAAACTTCCCACGACAGTTCATTTCGCATTCCCTGCAAGTTCCGTGCGAAGTTTCGTAGAGCGAAAGTTTGTGTGCATTTTCATTTCGCAGAACCTCTCTCTTTCCCACTCACAGACCTGAATCAGAGTTTCGCTACCTGCTAGTGTGATGTTGTCACAAGTTGTAGATAAACCTTGCTTTGTTGAACACATATTGTTGGTTGACAGCACATTACAAGGTGAAGGACCACCGTGTTCGGAAACAGTGACCTTGCTACAACCACCCATGGTTGGCAGAGCTCCGGGCTGACAGTACACTAGCAAAAACGAGAAGACTAAATCAACTTCCCCAGTATAGTGAGGCTCAGAACCAGGGCTAATAATACCCATTCAGTTCAAAATGGGCGCAAGACCGAGGCTCTGCCAACCATGGATGGTTGTAGTAAGGTCACTGTTTCCGAACACAGTGGTCCTCCGCCAACGGCCTTGTAACATGCTGTCAACATCCAACATAGTGTGATGATGCAAGCAGAGCCCCAAAACGTGTGCGCAAGACGCTATGTCCGACTTCTCTAGTTAATAAGGAAGTTCCTCCAGACGTTGCCTTCTTCTTACAGGGGGAGCCCTCATTGCTCCTTACAGAGCGGAATGAAAACAGGTACAGTCGACCTACCACATAAGGAGAATGCTGGGGGGCCTGTTGGCTGTCTCTAAGTGTTATAGTACTTTCAAAGGCCAAAGGTAGATATAGAGCGAAGTAAAGCTGCAGGGCCTGTGGTCGGATTTCAAAATAACAATTTTCTGATGACCCGCCAAATGTTGTTATTCGCAAAGTAATTAGTTGACTGTATATGCCAAAGTCGCTTCACAAGTAGAAAATCGACAGGGGGCGGGAATTGGAGAGGGGGCGGATCAACGGTACTTTACAGTACAATGTGTCCAATTTTGTATTGTAGCATGTCTAAATTTCGTTGGTACTAGTATTAGCAAGAGTACATAACCACCCAGAGTGTGCAACTCCACTATGGGTGCTGTCCCGACAGAATTTCAAGTTGACGTCATTTTGATGATGCAATGCGCACTGTACACGGATTATCAGACGAATCCGGAACCTGTGGTTGACCGAAGCCGATCGATCCTGTACAAATTATTGCAAAGAAAAACGTGTGATGCGTTGACACCCGTACACATGTTGTAAATCACTGGTGCAAGGAGCATTGCGTCATAAATAATGACGTCAACTTGAAATTCTGTCGGGACAGCAGGGTATGTGGGAGTTGCACACTCTTGGGGGGTTATGTACTCTTGGTATTAGAGTGACATGATTATACCAATAGCCAGAAGACAATCCAACAACAACAACTAAATTTTAAATTGCATTCCCTGTGGGTCCCGTTTTTGGTCCCCTGGGAGAGGAAAAAGACCCAAGTGCGATCAGAATGTGTGGCGCATGTTCTGAGCTGCCTTTTGAGTGAGAAACTTGTCAGCGCTGTCTAGGTTCAGCCTGATCCCATAGCTCAGATGGTTAGAGCATTGCTCATTACAAGCAAGGTCCCGGGTTCGAGTCCTGGTGGGTCTGGCATTGTGTTCTCTTTTCAGGAAGTTTACTTCCCTGACTGAACCCAGTGGGTCCATTTTTATTAGTTGTATGCTTGTTGTGATTCCCACTATGAATAAGGTATACAACAACAACAACAACAACAACAACAACAACAACAACAACATAATATCCTGCCTATAATATGCATGCATTGCTGTCACCCCGCTCTCAATCACAGCCATTGACCGTCTTGAGCGAATCCAGCGCAAGGCGGCCAGAATTTGCCTCTGTCTCCCCTCTACACTCCTCTGAATCATTCAACACTGCTCGATCGGCTCAAATGGCCGACAATGTTCTCTCACCGCAAAGTGTAGCTCACCCTTCTTGCTCACTCCATAAGATACCAATATGCCCCACAACACATGCAACGCATGCTCAACACCCCCGCTCAAATGACGGCCCAGTATAGCCTTCGACACGCACGCACTTGGCACCTCCCACCAACCAGAACCGATCGCTGTAAAGACTCCCCACTGTACAAGTCCCTAGAATACTACAACCATTTTGCAAAAAAAGCCCCAGTGAGAAAGCAGTCTTGCCCGTTCATATGGTGAATTAAAATAAAGAAACAACAATAACAACAACAACAACAACAACAACAACAACAACATACTTGAGTAAGCAGGCTGAAGAATAGCCAGCAGGGCCAATCCAATCTGCGGTTGAGAGAGAGAGAGAGAGAGAGAGAGAGAGAGAGAGAGAGAGAGAGAGAGAGAGAGAGAGAGAGAGAGAGAGAGAGAGAGAGAGAGAGAGAGAGAGAGAGAGAGAGAGAGAGAGAGAGAGAGAGAGAGAGAGAGAGAGAGAGAGAGAGAGAGAGAGAGAGAGAGAGAGAGAGAGAGAGAGAGAGAAGAGAGAGAGAGAAAACATATGGGATGGCACTTGCAACCATAATTTTCATACGTAAAAATTCACAACTGCTAAGCATGCCTTGTTGCTTTGGAGACAGGTTGGCTGCATGCGCCAACCGCATGCGCGACGAACCGAAACCGCATTTTCCATTTTGTTTTCGACATGGTGTGTACCTTGTGTTTCGTGCGGCTTGAACGTTGCCATGGATAAATCCGGAAAGTGCGAAAATATTTCAAAAAGTCCAACGGAGGACCCAACGTAGGAAACAGCGTTCCTACGGAAATCGTTAGAGAGATTTAAGTATGAAAGTTGCCCTCCCTCCCCGGCGCGTACGACATACGGATCTTCATACATTATTTCGCCAGGAACTTAACAAATTCATTCATCTTGGGCAATCTGTAAGAAGACCTTAGGGTCTGTTCAGAATGCCCAAGTAAAATAATAAAATACAATACACAAAATACGTAATTACGAAACCTCCCTATTCAGCGCTCCAGACGTGGGTCTGATCTATGACAACACTACCTACGTGGAAGGAACCGAGAGGGCTCATACGGGTTCGTAGGAATGTGGGTGCGGACAAGAGCGATAAAACAGTTTGTGCTGCATACAGTACGGATGGCAGCCGGGATGGGTCCTGCCACTGTGTTGTCTCTTACATGTACATGCATTTTTAAGTACAATCTTTAGGACATCATTCTGTCCAAATAGCAAACGTTTTTTAGGCCACGCCGTTTTTTTCTCTGTTTCGCGTCACCTTATTCGATGAAATCAATGAGGGACGGCGAAAAAAATATAAAAGCCATCCAAAAAAAACCAGTGTACGTGCATTACATTTGTGTACAGTGAAGCGACGAGGCACTGTTCATGTACATTGACATGTACATGAATACATGAGTGTATCCCCTCTGCCATGCTTGTGGTCCAAACACAGGCGGCATGATGATTGTGTGACTTGCGGCCCAGCGTATTGCACACACATGTACACGTACATGGTTGTGAGCTGAGTTACATTTTCCGGTTTTCTGGGTGTGCATTAAATTTGTATTGCATTTTTTTTTTTTAATTTTGTTCCGTTTTTTTAACTCCGGCTGTGAAATACATGCGCGCGGGGGACGCGAAACATAGATAAAAAATGGTGTGGCCTTAGGGTTAAAAGGAAAAATAGGAAGAAAACAATATGTTAAGCTGTCCCCACTGGACACCACGATTCCTCATTTTCGAGAGATTTTCTATAAAACCCGCATTAGCCATGGAAATGTACAAGAAAATAGTACATGATGTTGAAAATGTACTTCAAAGTCGTACCGATCCGTGAGTTTGTACGGCAAAGTTGTAAACTTGCATGAACCTGTACGCTAAAGTTGTATCAGTGACAGTAACTCGTGCATAAGGACCGCACAATCCGGCATATTTGCCGCATAATCCCACACAAATGCCGCATAGTGGCCCGTTCTCGCCCGCATAATCATGCGCATAATTTATGGGTTTCGTCCGCGGTATTCTGTGAGGACAGTTGTACGGGCCCTGACTGTCCATAAAAGTAACCAGATCATACAGTCAGCGAGGGCAACAAGGCACAAAACTCACAAGGAGTACGGAACATATGCACCTACATATACTACTACTACTGTTAAGTGAGAAACTTTTCGCTAGAGATTAAATTTCATCACACATTCGCGAATATAAATCGCCGCTAAAAAAAAATGTCACGGTTCGCGTGAGACTCGGCTGGAAGCCGGGTTTTCCGCATCCGTAGGAACGCCACCACCCTTCAAGGATCAAGGCGCAGATGCAGCTCCTAAAGCGGTGGGAGGTGAGTAGATCAGCTCACCAGCAAGTGGTCAAAGACCGAAAATCCCATTCACTGCATCCATGTTTTCCTCGTACCAGGCCACGAGTTCCCAATTAACTGTGGGTCGCAGCACGGCTAGAAAAAATCCTTCCGCTTCCAAGCAGGACTTGAACCTGGCACCCTCTGTTTCTCAATCATGGTCTTAGACCATCCCACTAATCGCCGCTAAATGCTCTGAAAATTGATTACAGACAGTGCATGATCCAACTGAAGAGATGAAATCGCCAAAGTTTCTCATCGTGAACCAGCCCAATTCTTGAAAACGCAAACTTTGCGCGCCGCGAAAGTTTAACGCTTTACAGTTCCTGTTTTGCAATAATTTTTGGAGCAGACACTTTGGACTCAGATGGAGAGCCAAGGTTGAATTCAGTATTCATAAAGAGAAAGACCAAGGAACTACAAGTTACGCTATACTGCCCGTCAGTGTCAGTGTCGTGCAATGTTATCGCACGAGCTGATTGTCTAGTAACTGGTGGTGTTAGTGGACAGTATAGCGTAACTTGTAGTTCCTTGGTCTTTCTCTTTTGTATAAGCAGACACTTTCTTCGATATTAATTTTGGAAAGGGGGGGGGGTTGTCAACTGAAGAAAGTTGTTTGTTTCGGAGAGAGGGTAATTTATTGGACATCTACACAGAGCTCACTGACTTGCTACTTTCCGGCCTGGTTGTGAATCTGGCTTTGGAAACTTTATTTTTGCATTGCCATCAGGTTCGGCCTCATTTAATTTTCTTTGTGCTGCGCTGATGAGCAGCATGCATGCTGTCTGCAGATTGAGGATATGATCACCCAAATAATTCGGACGATTTGGCAGCACTAAAACTCCATTCGGTTACGAGAAAAAGTTAATTCCGTTACTAACCAGTGCAGAGAAAGCCATAGCGCAACCAGCTCTAGCAAAACACCTCCGTTTGAGTACAGTGAATGACTGCTTGCGTTGTTATCACCTGTACGCGATTCCACAGCCATATCCCGCACCAGGCCGGCGGAAGAAAGGAAACAAGAAAGACAACAGGCACGTGTCAATCCCAGAAATTTGCAACAAGATCAAAAACACAGTAGCTAGCTGTTGATATGGATTTTTTGATCAGAAGAAGGAACCACTGCGAACGCTCTTGACATAGTGGCAAGGTCTGCATCTCCAGCGAAACCCATCGTAGCTTTCCTGCCTCCTAGTGAGGCCACATCGCGCACCACATGTGTCACAGAGCATTTCAAGTCGTTCCTGATAAAGCGCCGAGCGGCAAGGAACTCGAGTTGGCCAAGTAAGTTAGTTGGGTCCTGGAAAAGATCGGTACAAGGGTGTCTGACCGTGAACACGGTCCACTGCTCCATCAAAATTGCAATATTAGTATGTCTCCCTGAGGGACAATCCGTATCGGCGCACCGGGACACCCAGCCATTACCACAAAGTCAAAGGAAACAACTCTAAGGACACAAGACTTCGAAACACACTCAACCACGCTCTCAAGTACACAGAAAGCACACAGAACACTGGGAAAGTGCGAAATAATTTGGGACCCTAAAACTAGATGATTACCAACTAGTTTGTCTCCCGTGGCTCAAGAGCTGCCCTAGAAGCAGTCCAAGTCTCACTCACCAAGAGAGCAATCGAAGATGTTTACACGACGACTGCCAAGCACAAAGTGAGGATAGACAAGACTTTACCGCCTGCCATGCCACACGGTCATACTCACAGTACAGTACACATTTTCGGGACGATCACGGTGCTTTCCTTGATTGGGACTTCCTTCAAGACAAGAGGCTTCTCCCGCCGCCCCTACATGTAGATTTGGTGCCTTGCGGTGCTCGTGTTTGTCCTGCGCTACTGCAGGTTTGTATGCGCCTACAGCACGCGCTTCATCCAGTGTACGTGTGTACATCCCGATATACGATCTATTGCATAATTATGGGTGGACCGGCGCTTTCGCGGGATCGGGAAATAATTCGGCATGCATTGTTTGACGGCGCACTGCGCTGCATGCATGCACTGCATGCATTTGGCTTCAGCCGGCCTCCCTGACCTCTTCAGGGAATTCCGGAAGGGATTGATTGTATCCTCGTATGACTCTGCGCTACCGTACTATACTCCAGATAAGACGCGTGCTTGACCCCGTTGGAAATGTACGCAACAGTGCCCACCCTGTTGCAGTGTTGGCCTTGGGTTTGCCCTCTCACTCAACTCTCCGCACAAAGACAAAAGAGGCCGACCCTGCACTCGTCACCTCCTTTTATCCCACACCGTGCTCCCTCGTACCCGTTCCCGGGTGGACAGAGAACACTACTTCTAATTCTCTGCTAATTCTTATACTGTGACGTCAACCGCAGATAAGTGACATTTCTCTGTCCACCCTGCACTCACTCGTTGCGCACACATCCGCACACTCACTCATACGTGTACACCACTATTGAACACGTGAACACTGCCAGTGGGGGCCACCACAGCACAGCAGCAAAGCATAGCCTCTAATCTAGTGCCAGCTAACGGCACTAGATGGCAAGAGCATATTGTCCAGACTCTCTTTGATGTAGGAGTTGACTGCTTCACTGTGCCAGCCACCATGCCGTTTCAACAGTCGCTGTGGAACCTTGGCTGCGGCCGCTGCCGTCGTACCCCCCATATCGGAGGCTGTGCAGGCCGAACATCTCTGCCTGTAGGCCTGCTCCTGCCACTGCCTCTTGGAACAGCTCTCTTGCTCTGGAGTACTGGAGTGACCCTTTCTTCGTCTTCCAGCCAGACTTCGCTTTCACCAAGTTACTCAGCAAATGATCATCAGCTTGAAGGTTCGTTTCTTCGATCAGCCTCTGCGTCAGAGCTACCGCTCCCAGCTCACCAGGCTGCGTGCTTATGAGGACCAAGCTGCCTTCTCTGAGCTGGTCATTCTTGCGCTTATCCAAACGAACCTCCATGTAGTCTTGACGGAATACAATGTCCCGCACCCGGATTCTCGCCAAATCGTCCCACCTCATGAAGCCAGCAAATCCAATGGCAAACATAACCGCTGTCCGCAGCTTCAGACAATCGTCGCTCCCGGCAAGTTGACCCACGATCGTAGCCACCTGCTTCTTGTTGAGGGGCTCTTTCCGCCTGGGGGTGCAAGCTAACCTCCTTTTTGCCGCTGCTGCAATCTGCTCCACCATGGCATTGACAGGAAGCTGTACGCATGCCTTCTGATGAGCCCATTTGATTGCGGACAGAGCTGCAGAAATTGGGCTTGCGGATGCGCTCGTCTCTACGAGGTGGATCAGGTACAAACTGACTGCCACTGGTGTAGCGGGTATCGCCACAAACCCATGCTCCATAGCCCAGCTTTTCCAACGCGAAAATGCCGACTTGTAGGTCTTCACCGTAGATGACGCATGTGTCTCCATCACCAAGTCCTTGGCTCGTTCCGACAAACTCACTAGGCCCTTGCCTTCACTACTTCCTGTAGCTCCTTCCAGCACCCCTGGTCCCAGATCTCTAAAAATTTTAGCAAGCACATGGAAAGAACCACAATATAAGCCTCGTTATTCAGACCGCACAAGCTTGTGCTCCAGCTACAAGCCTCCTCCTATGCCATGTTACATTATAGCAATAAAAACTGCTTTATGGCAGTTTTCTAAAAAACGTTATTGTGTTCTAGTCCATGGACCCCGTCTAAAAAGTAAGAAAATAACGAAATGTGATTGCCGAAAATTAAAATTTCACACAAAACCTCACAATTATCACAACACTTGAAATGCTGTTTTCAACACTAAACTTGTACTGCACCAACAATTGGCAACATGCATGTCATGCATGCACAGGAAAGAGGATCACGAGGAGAAAAAGGTCTTCTACATGTAGCTTTTCATTCTGTGTGTGATTATTGTGAGGTTTTGTGTGAAATTTTAATTTTCGGCAATCACATTTCGTTAATTTCTTACTTTTTAGACGGGGTCCATGGACTAGAACACAATAACGTTTTTAGAAAACTGCCATAAAGCAGTTTTTATTGCTATAATTTCTTTTGTTTTTTCTGTCACCAATCAATGGAATGCCCAATACGTAAATGATGGCCTTCACATCATATCAATACAGTATTATACGCATTGATGTGCAAGCCTTTTCTTGCAGAAAATGGCACTAGCATGTTCGTCTGCGGGGCCCGGGGGAAACATGTGAGTAGTGGTGGACCGTGGTGATTAGGCCTCGACCAAATATGCTTGCGCATATTTCCGCATATTTTGTGAGACAGTTCATTATGGCATATTGAGCGAGCATATGATTCAAATATTCTAAAGAAAATGAGGACAAAACATTCATGTTATGGACAAAATGCGTTCAGAAATGCCTTTTATGGATGAATTTGGAATGGTTGAGGCGTTTGCAACATTTCCCCAGGGATGAACACTATCGCTAGCCTACGGTTGCTGGGGA